GATCAAAAGTGGGATGTAATATTATTTGTTAAACCTTAAAGTCACTACTACAATACTAGGTTCTGGGTGTTGGTGTGATGTCAATAGAGAACTCTATGACCATGTTTACACCTGGTATTAAGATGTGTTTTAATACCAGGGTCTACAACGTTTTGAGCTTGTCCACTTTCGGCCACTTCCTGAGGTAGTCGAAAACGCATTCGACCGCATTGCTTTCGTAGTTTAAATGCTCATGTGCTCCAATGTGTTCAAACAGGCACAAAAGGTCATCTATTCTCCATCTATTGACTTAATGCGTAAACATTAACCTAACCCTTATTTTGTCTATTAGATTTAAAAATATCTAAAAAAAAAAAACATCCATTTACACAACCATAGACCCTCCACTTGAATAAATCAGGACAAAAGAGACACCAGGTGTAAAAGGATATGTCTCCCTCGTCTACTTGTGATCCAATCGACCAAAACGCATCATGATACCAGGTGTAAACAGGGCCTATGATTTTCTGGTCTCTAGATATGACTCAACTCCCACATTCTATAGATGTCCCACTTTTAGAAATGTGGTTTTGGTCCAGATAAAATGTAGCTAATGATGGCATAGAGATGCTAAGTTGAATTATTCTGAATGTTAAAACATATTTATCTAATCTTGCATGACTCGTAGCTGTGTCTAAAATAAAATATTAACACATGCTTTGCTTGAATTGATAGCTATGAATTGTATTAGTTAGAATTTATTTCTGATGATTGCATAAAAACTAAACTGATTAATAAAGTGAATTTTAATAGACTTGTAAACAAACAGGGATGCACTCTTTTTTTTTTTTTTTTTTTGCAGACAAATTAGGTAGTAACAGTCCGTTGGCTCTCTAATCAGGGGAAACGCAGTCGAGTGTTCAAGCAACAGCCTTTTTGCCATGAAAAACATGACCGGAAACAGAACAGAAGGGAAAAACCTGATTAATTTCAGTGGGAAAGGGGAAAAACGGGAATTAAAGGAGCTTAACTTTATGAGAGCAAAGTTTCCAAAAGGTAAAATATATCAGTGGGACATCTAAAAGAATAAAAAAAAATCTCCTCAGAAGTCTGTAATGTCACCCCTGCTGTTCAGATCCCATTTACAAGAGTGCACCACAGACTGCAGGGGAACAATCTGCTCTCTGGGTGTGCAGCGAGAGAGCAGTTACCATGACTACATGTGTTCAAAGACATCAGAGAGGAGGGCTGGCTTGCCTCAGAGTTGTTCTTCTCAGCGAGCGAGCGACTGTCCTCTGCCTCCTCCTTATGTTTATTCTTATTCTTGCAGCTGCTCTTCTTGCACTTGCCAGAGCAGGCTTTCTTCTCCCCTTTGGCCAGGGCCTGCAGCCGGCTCAAGAACTTCGTTTTCCAGGCCTGAAAGTCGGCCTGCACGCTGCCATGTCGGCTCTTCACCACGTTGCAGTCGCCTTCTCCTCTGGTCATGATCCGTGCGGCACTCAGCATCCACAACCACTTATCAATGTTCTTACTGACCTGGAAACAGAAAATATATTTAGTGCAAGATTCATGCAACACAATCCAATCAAAAACAGATGCTAAAATGCAGGCGTGTCTCACAGTGTTGTAATGGCCCACATAAACGGAGTTCCCCAGCCCAAAGACGGCATATCTCATTCCCTTTAGGTAAGTTTTCCCATATCGGAAGTCAGTGGACGCTTCCTCAAGCCATTTACAGAACCATTCGGCGCTCTCGGTGGGCTGTCCGTCAGTGTATGTGGCCACCAGGAACACACAGATCATCTTGCTTGTACACTAGAGAAGAATGATATGGGAGCATGAGATGGACAAGAGTGATTACCAAGTATTAAATGGGTGAACTGGGTTTCATTTCCCAAAAATCAAAAGAAAAACATTTGTAATGCAATCCCTATAACTATATTTTATAAATATCATTTATAAAGGACCTTTAGAAATTTTAATGACAATTAAAATTTAAACAAACATTTTCATTATTTTTTGTGTGTGTGAAAAATGTATATTACAATAACTAAGATTCTCTGCAACAATTACTATTATTATTTTTTTTTTTTATGAAATTCAGTACAACAGATACTGCCATGTGTACTTTTTAAAGGCACATTATTTAAATTATGAAAATTTGAACGTTTTTCTCCCATGGCATTACAGTAGACTACATACAGTTGTTATAACATTTTATTGTAATGGTACTACAGTAAGCTTAGTTTAACTCATTGGCCACTCCCAACAACTGCGCGCGCAGACGGGAGTGTAAACTTGAAGTCTAGTCTAGAACACATTCAAAAACTTCAGCTGAATAGCGTCATGTCGAGAAGACGCTGTGTTCTACATTGCAAAGACAGTTCAGCCACTTGTTTTCATTTCCCAGGGATGAGCATGTGAAGAATCAGTGGTTGGAGTTCATATTTGCAACGATACCACAACAGTACAGGCCGAACCTTGTGTTCTCATCATTTTAATGACGAATCATTCAAAAACATAAATGAATTCAAATGTGGATTCGCAAGCCGGTTGTTCCCGAAGGAGGGCTCAGTATCCAGTGTATATGGATCAGGTTCGTCCTCCGAATCACAATCTGTAAGTATTATTAATAATGTTTGCTGTTATGTTTTCTGTAGCATGCACAATATAGTTATATTGTGTTGTGTGTGTTCTGTACACTCAGCGCAGCTTCAAAGCGGGGTAAAGTTAGTTTTATTTTTGATATTCACCAGACATTCATTGAAAAATGGCAATTACCTCCTAAACGACTTAGCCAAATATGACTTCGCTCTATATAATAAGCACTGTCCCTCAAGAGCCCCCACAATGTGAGTTTCACCGGGAAAGCTCGCTCTTGACGGAGACGCAAGGGGCCGTGTGGAAAGTGCACTTTTTCTGAAACTATATACAATTTTCAAAACTTGACAAGCTATAATCCTGGTGATGGGCGTTCCGTTGCCGACAGTCTCTGCCTACGGTTTACCAATAACAACTGACTGGGTCATTTGACCAATCACCGCAGATTCACGTCACTCAAAGGAGGTGTTTGGGAAAATGAATCGTCGAACGAATCATTTGGGAGTCGTTGAGCAAATCGGGTAAAAATAAATGCATATTATAAGACAAATAAAGTGTTTTTTATCCTTGCATGCACATTAAACTGTTTTTGGGAACTCCCAAAACAAAAACAGGAACATTTCAAATGCTATGATTGGGGCTCTTAAAAAGATATGAAGCTCCCAGTTATTCCTATTATATTCTTCATTCCTAAAGATATATTCTTATCATAAAGTCATGACAAATCCTCAAGTTTTAATAATCTATTTCCACTTCCTCAAAACTGAAAACGACCCACATTTCTGAAATACAGTATGGGACCAATGCAGCACATTTTGGGCTGTGAAATAACACTGAAAACAAGCTATGCTCACCTCCTCAGCCAGTCTGTCATCTGGGTCATAATCTTTCACATCTATAACCTCACACTGGATCCCCTGTGTGCTGACGTCTTCAGCGAGCTCTTTTGCAAACCCCTAGGCAAAGTTAAGAATATTAAATCACACACTGGCATGTGATTCTTAGAATTAGGCCATTTCACAAACATCATAATAATATTTTTTATACTGGTATATGTATTGTATTTGTATTTATTTATTTCTTCGGTCAGTCATTTAGAAATCATGTCATAAATCATGTAACACAAAAGAGAGAAAGAAAAAAAAATAAAATAAAAATAAAAAATAACACATAAAAAAGTCTTCTATACCTTTGCTGTTCCTGTCTGTGATCCATAGAAGACTTTGACCCCAGAAACATGAATGACCTTTTCTGTTACAGGTGAATGTTCCTGTTTTTTTGCAGACTTATATGGCCATGGATTTACAGGGTTGACCGTTTTTGTCTATAAAAGAAAAAGACAATGTTAGTTGTGCGTTCATTATAAACTACAAAGCAAAACCTAAGAAAGACTTTAAGTAGCAGAGAATCCTTAAGTGTCGACACACTTAATTACCTTTTTGAAAAGCGTGTTGACAATAAACCAGACTCCTATGAGAACAGCGGCAGTAGTGTACACATAAAACCTGCCCTGCCACACAGACAGCAGGTAACTCTCAGTGAAATCCCAAACGTCATTCAAAGCACCTGTGAATGCAAGAAAATACAATTTCTGCAAAATAATAGCACTTGACTTGTCGGGAATGATGCAAGCACAAAATAAGCAACATTATAGTTGTTGATAAGATAGACAATCGTTGTGGAACGACTGTGTCTCAAAAGCTAGTACGCTGTCTACCTAAACAGCATCGTTTACCTTATAGCCGAGTTAAAAAAACGCCGAGACTGGTGAGGAAGGTAGGAAGCACATTAGGTGTTGCCACACAGCCTAACCGTCCAAAAGTAAGTGCAAGTGCATTCTAGAGCATGGCTACACTGTTATATATGATTAGCCGTTTAATTTAACTCATATTCTATGGGTTAATATTAGCCATGCGTTTCAACCTACCTTGCAAATCAGCGCCGACTGTAGAATACACCAAATTTGAAAACACCGCTAAAAACAACATTTTCTGTTGTCTATCGAACAAGACAGTACTGTTTATAAATATATAACATTAGCCATACAAATATCTAACTTTAGTTGTCGCATATAAATATCTGGCTCACTTTACGGCTGCACGTCGAAGGACGCCGCCATATTGTTATGACAAGAATGCTGGGAAATTGAGGTCATCTCAGGTCATTTAACTCCGCAAGTGAGGAGGATTCACTGCTTGATTTTTTTAATCATAATAATACGTATAATCATCCACGTGAGTATTCATTGGTTGAATCAATTATGCATTTAATTTGTTTATATCATATAAATAAAAAATAAAATAAATAAATAAAGCACTATTGTTATTGTGTTGTTGTAATTAACATTATTATTATTGAATTTTATTAGTTAATGTGTTGGTCTTAATTAATCGATAGTTTACATAAAACAAATAACACTCTTCATTCTTATCGTTTATTCAAGTCTGAAAATTTCACACAAACAACTTTATAATAGATTGTTCAACATCCAACATCCGTTCAAAACAAAATGCATCTGCACGGTCTCTGGAAGATAAACATTTTTGTGTAAGGTCCATTATTGACTTAAATTTCACGTCTTATATTTCAGCTTATTTCCCCCCCCCCAAAAAAATAAAAATAAAAAAATTATACGAAAGCTTTTAAAAATCACAGCCTCTTGGTATTTTGCTGGGTTTGGCGTTTGTGACGAAAAGTTGCAAGTGTTGTGAAAAAATTTCCCGCAAACAGAACCAGAAAGCAGAAGCCACAGATGGGAGCCTACAGTGAAAAGAGATGAAGATATGAATGAAACATAAGATTATTGCAACTTCAAAATCACACTTTCAACAGATTTACTCATAGGCTATACTGAATGTGACATATTCTATCACTTCAGTGTCATGATGTTGTGGAAAGATCTATAGAAATAACACTGACCTGCCATTCTTTACATTCAGGGAGCTGAGCCATTCTGAACAGGGAAATACTGTTCCAAAGCTGCCAGAACTGCGTGACACATAGACATAGACACAACATTCAGTGTTCAACAAGATATACACCAAAAATGATTACTGTTCATATAATGGCATTTCATTTGCGGTTCCATTTTCAAAGATTTATTAAAATCTGACTATAATGCTTTGACTATATTTATATTCTGAAATATTAAAAACAAATACTTACATGACCCAGGAAGAGAAAGGGAAAAAGAAATGTTAGTCTCCGCGACATCCACGACTGAAATCCCTCTGTTTAAACAAAAATTATGTTTATAGCTTTAAAGTGACATAAAGCTTTTCACTTTTTTCAAGTCAGAAATCCTTACCAACAGTCAAATCCAAGTTGTGTCCTTCCCCTTGTGCTTTTAGCCTGTTGAGAGACGCACTTAGACACTGCACAAAGCCTAAAAGAGAAAGTGATACGTTTGCCTTCAAGATCTCTCAATATTACAGTGTTAGTATTTTTCATGCAGCAGATGTTTTACAGGGTGGTGTTAGCATGTAGGGCTTGTAACTTACTTTGATACAAAAAATAGGTCAGAAATTGTTTCCTGAAAGACTGGTATATTTCACCATCTGGCCTACATACACAACAGAATTTGTGTTTGAGGGCAAATACCAGCAATTTATTCATAATTCTCTATTAATAGGACTGACAGGAGGAACGAAAGACTCAACCGAACCCGAAGACGAGAGAGAGAGAGAGAGAGAGAGAGAGAGAGAGAGAGATGCTCATGGAAAATCCTCAACCTGAACAGACACCAGTGGAAGAACAGCCTCACTCCTCGACTGACCCAGCATCCCAGACCCACAGCGCTGCTGCACAGGACCCGAGGGAAACACACGCTCTTATCCTGACTGACTCCAATGGGAAATATATCAGTGAGAAACTTCTATTGCCAAACGTGAAAGCCGAGAAAATCTGGTGTCCAAACACAAGAAGTGCTTTTCAGATCCTGTCTGACAGAAACCCACATGAAAACTACAAGCACATAATTATCCACACAGGGACAAATGACTTAAGGGCCATGAAGGGCCATGTGGCTCCTGTGATGAGAGAGGTGGCGATCAGAGCCACACAGCGTTTCCCAGAGGCCAGGATAACTCTGTCCACACTGCTGCCACGCTCCGACGTGCCGTTCCACGTGATCCACGGGAATAATGTGGAACTCTCCAGAAGCTGCGCACTCATCCCTAATGTTCAATCTCGCCCATCACAAGGACATACAGCCTCATCATATGTACGACCACGTACATCTCAATAAGCAAGGAGTGAAAGTCTTCGGCAGAGTGCTGAAAAGCACAGCCCTTGGAAACACAGCAAGAAACAACAAGAGAAGCTCTCAGCCACCGAGAAGCCCTCGTCCTACAGCAGAACACAGACCGGCCGCCGGACCTCCATCACAACACAACAGCTACACAACACAGAGAAGCCCCCGTCCTCCAGCAGACCGCAGATCGGCCGCGGGACCTCCATCACAACACAAGAGCTACGCTGCGGCCGTTCAACAACCCCAGAACCCTGCAGCGGCTGAACTCAACCAGATAAGACATCTGCTGAACATCATCTGCTCCAGACTGAGGACATAACCTACATAACACACACACACACACACCCTACAGAAGAAATTAATGCTCCATGATCCATGAAATCTTTTAAAATCAGTTGTTGGAATGTACAAGGTCTGCACTCTTCTACTTTTGGTAATAAGACTGCAGACCAAGACTTACTCAGCAGTGTAAGAGATATGGACATCTGTATCTTTCATGAGACGTGGTGTCGTAGTAATGAGGCGTTACACTGTCCAATAGGATATAAGGAAATTATAGTTCCTTCAACAAAAAATTCTAAAATAAAATGCGTCCGAGACTCAGGTGGAATACTTATATGGCACAAAGACAATCTAAAACATTCGATTAAAATTGGTAAATCATCTATTTGGCTTGAATTGAAATCCATCACACCACAGTCCAATCTTTACCTCTGTGCCATCTATATCCCACCGCACGACTCTCCTTATTATGAAGAGCAGAGCTTCCCAACACTACAGGCTGACATCTTACACTTCCAGTCAGAGGAAATGTCCTCATCTGTGGAGACCTCAATGCCAGAACAGGGCGAGAAATTGATTATGTAAATATTGTAGATAATGGCCACGTCCTCAATGACACCACGTTTCATTCCTCATTGAATATGACACAGAGAAATAGCTATGATATCTCAGTGAACATTAATGGAAAACAAATGTTAAAACTCTGTAAAGGTTTAGGACTCTACATCCTCAACGGCAGAACTCGTGGAGATACGTTAGGTAGATTCACTTACTGCTCCAGATTAGGGTCCACTGTGGTAGATTACTCAATAACAGATATTGACCCAAGCTTTATTAATGCCTTCACAGTCAGACCTCAAGTCCCGATCTCTGATCACTGCCAAACTGTGCTTTATCTGAAACCCCCGTGTGAAATAACTCAAACTTCTCCACTCGAATCTGAAAAACTGTTTCCTCTGAAACCTAAACTTAAATGGAATCAATCCAACTCGGATCAATTCAAAGAAAACATGAACAGTCCTACAATATTAAACATGCTGGATGAATTTATGTCCACCGATTTCACTCTAGATATTAATGGAATAAATTTAGCAACTAAAAACTTAAATTGCATATTCAAAACATTGATAACTGTATCTAATATTAAACCGCAAAGCACACATAAAACAAATCAACAGAGAATGAGAAAGGATGTCTGGTTCGATGACGAATGTGCAGGTCTCAGGAAAGAGCTGAGGAGACTCTCTAACAGAAAGCACAGAGACCCGTCCAGCCAGACATTACGGCTCTCCTATTCAGACTGTCTGCAGAGTTACAAAAGACTTCTGTGGAACAAAAGAGAAAAATATTTTAAAGCCAAAATTGATGAAATTGATGATTCGCTAGATCAAAATACTTTCTGGAAACTATATAAAAAACTAGAAAAACCCAAATTAGAGATGTCACTCCAGAACGGCACAATTTGGAAATCATTACACCGGCTGACCTTAACCAACCTCAGCGTAACATACAGAACACACTAGAAGACTTAGAAAAAAAATATTAAAAATGACCAAAATCCATTAGATAAATTTATTTCAATATCTGAAATATTAGAACATATTAAAAATCTTAAACTAAAGAAAGCGTGTGGACAAGATAACATTAGTAATGAAATGCTTAAACTCAGCAGTCCCAGCATGATTCAAACTCTGGCCAAACTCTTTAATCTGGTGTTGTGGTCCGGAAGCGTTCCTGAGAGCTGGTCTGAGGGACTCATCACACCCGTGTTTAAGAAAGGCGATCGTCTCGACCCCAATAGTTACCGTGGTATCAGTGTGAGCAGTGCTTTAGGAAAACTGTTCTGCAGCATCATAGACACACGCATCGTCTCACACATCTCATCGCACAACATTTTAAATAAAGCACAGATTGGCTTTCTACCAAAACACTGCACGTCCGACCACATCTATTCACTCCACACACTCATCAACAAAAACATTAACGACAAACAAAGGAAAATATTCGCATGTTTTGTAGACTTCAAAAAGGCATTCGATTCAATTTGGCATGATGGTCTACTGTATAAAATCCTAAAAATTGGCATTGGTGGAAAAACGTTTGACATTATAAAATCTCTGTACAGCAACAGCAAAAGTGCGGTGAAAATCAGGAAGCACAGAAGCGCGTTCTTCCAGCAGGGCCGTGGAGTGAGGCAGGGCTGCAGTCTGAGCCCGACTCTATTCAACATCTATATCAATGATCTGGCATCAGCGCTGGACAGCTCCACTGTGCCCGGCCTCACTCTACACCACACACAGGCCAGGGGTCAGGGGTCAGAGGTCAGATGTCTGCTGTACGCGGATGATCTGGTCCTGCTGTCCCGCACGCCTGAGGGCCTTCAGCAGAGCCTGTCCCTGCTGGAACAGTACTGTCACGACTGGGCCCTGACAGTCAATCTGGACAAAACCAGAGTTATGGTGTTCCAGAAGAAGGCCAGATCTCAGGAACACAAACACCAGTTCCTGTATAAAGGCCAGGTCCTGCAGCACAGCACGAGCTATAGCTATCTAGGCATCGACATCAGCGCTTCGGGACGCTTCGGTCTGGCTGTCAAAACACTCAGTGAAAAGGCTCGGAGGGCTTTTTATGCAATAAAGTCACGATGCGGACACTTAAAATGACCCATTAAAACCTGGATAAAATTATATAATTCGATTATAAAACCAATCCTTCTATATGGATGTGAAATTTGGGGACCACTACTAAATTTAAAAAATTGGGATAAAACATTAGTAGAAAAATTACAATTGGAAATTGCCAAAAATATTTTAGGTGTTCACCGAAACACGCCCACTGCCGCCTGCAGGGCTGAGCTAGGCCTGTACCCGCTGAACATCGAGATCCAGAAGAGATGTGTTCAGTTCTGGCATCATCTCCATCAGTCTGATCCAGAGTCAGTCCAGTATAAAGCCCTCCTCGCCAATGAAAGCTCAGCAGAAGCTCATCCTCTACACACACTCGCTCTTCAACTCGTCCATCAGACCCAACTCCCCACTGACCACAGCTACAGCCCCAAAACTATTATTAAAGAGATCCACACACACCTAAAAGACACTCATGATCAATCACTAAAAGCACATTTTGACCTCCAAAATAAACTCCAATGTTACTCGACCCTCAATAGAACCACTAAATTGGCCAGCTATCTATTTATTAAACATTTTAAAGAAAGACAAATCCTCTCCAAATACAGATTAAGCGACCATGATCTAGAGATCGAGAGAGGAAGACATAGACACACATGGACAGAGAGAGAGCAGAGGATCTGTAGACACTGTGATCTACAGCACATAGAGGATGAGGAACACTTTCTGCTCTTCTGTCCCAAATATATCAATATTAGAGAAACCTTTCTGCCCAAATTTGAATCCTTCATCCCATCATTCTCTGATCTGAGTGACACTGAGAAAATATTCTTCTTACTTGGAGAGGATAATACAGCTGCACTAGCGGCTAAATATGTGTTAGCTATTCACAAGGCCAGAGACAGCTAATTGTATTCATTAATTTATTAATATATACTCTGTTTATTTATTTACCATGCTACTTATGACATGATCTATATGACATGATCTATATATATGTTCTGTGTGTTTGTTCTATTATTTATATATAATATGTTGATGCTTTGGCAACATTGTGTTACACAGTCATGCTAATAAAGCTATATTGAATTGAATTGAATTGAATTGAGAGAGAGAGAGAGAGAGAGAGAGAGAGGGAGAGAGAGAGGGAGGGAGAGAGAGAGAGAGAGAGAGAGAGAGAGAGAGAGAGAGAGAGAGAGAGATGAACTAATCAATCATTTCTGTTTCCTGGACAGATTTAGAACCCATATGTTGCGCAATGCTCATCCGCGGTCAACACAAAATGAACGAATCACTCTCTGAGACCACTCGGTATAGTCGCGAGTCATAATAAAGATTCGTTCAAAACACTCACTACTTCTGGAGGTGCAGCAAGAACACAAATAATTGGTACCGATTCTTTTCTTCAGGAGCAGCTTCGCAAATCCATGCAGCTTTATACTGAGTCTGACCCTCATTTATAAAGCAGTCTGGTACTGAGAAAAGATTCGCGAATTGCGCAAACATGAAAGCAGTGACGTTACTGGTGGGGTATATTCCCATCGAAAACAAAACTCAGCCACTGTGTCTTCAGCGGTTCAGATTTAGGAACATCAAAATGACTGTGTTCGTTCTGTGTTGAAACGCTGCTGTCAATCAACAATCGTGGGAGGGGCGTCCGTTTTATTGACGTCGCAAAAATGAACGGCTCAATTTGAGGCAGAGGAAAACACATAAGAAGATTAAAACAAAAACACTGGATAGATTTTTATCATTATATGATGGTTGTGTACAGGCACTGCCACGACATTTCGGTACAATCAACTTGAAAAAAGTGCATGTACCATTGACCCATTTAAAATTCATTAAAACATGAAAAAACAACCAATTGCAGATGTAACAAGGAAACTTTGGTCAGAATTATTTATGAAAATATATCATTTGTGCTGGAAAATCGAATAATCATGATGAATTGCATCGAACATAAAAATGTGTGTGTCTGTGTACACACATACAGTAGCGATTATAGCGATTAATCAATTTGACGGCACTAGATATAATTCATTATAACTTACATTAAGAATAAATTATAATGCATAAAGGCTTTGGTCTGACATTAATAGTCGGAAATGACTCACCAGGTTAGCATGACCCCAAACAGAAAGATGGTAATGTAGTGGTGGAAAACCCACCAGCCTTTAATCCTATATAAATCAAAGCATATACAAGGTTTTAGAGATGGCACAAGCCAGAGTAGGTCCTTGAGAGATTATTAAATCCACCATTGATCAAACGTTTCTCATGTGAATGCAGCAATGTCACATCTTCAAACCTGAAAAGACTCTTAAAGTTTCATCTGAACGTTTCTGACCTGGATCCATTGCTGATGAGAATACTGTCACGGATTGCCAGGGTGCAATAGTACCAAACCAACAGGAAGTAAAAAAGGGCATCGAAAACTCTACAGACACACACCAAAAGCAAGCATGAAATGTGAAGTGAGGGAAGACTTGTCAGACAGACCCGTGTGAACTCAGTCTTACCTGTAGCTGATGAAGAAGCGACATATGAAGGCCAGCAGGAACAGAATAACGTTCACATACAGCTTGAACCTTTCATGCTCATCTTTGTATTCAGCTCTGCATTACAAAGTGTACAGGCATATGATAAAATAAGTAAAAAATATAAGCTGAAAGTCAATAAACTGAGAAGCAAAGTTGTGTACATTTTTGTTGCACTGTAAAAATATTTTCAATTGGTTATATTAAAATGTATAATATAATAATATACATTTTGTATAAATATATATAAAGTATATACAAGCAAATATTTCTTACATGCATGTGTGTATATTTATATATTAAAAATAATTATACACGCTACACACACACACATATTATGTAAATACAAACTTTTATTTTGGATGCGATTAATCGCGATTAATCGTTTCACAACCCTAATATATATATATATATATATATATAGAGAGAGAGAGAGAGAGAGAGAGAGAGAGAGTTTCTGTTGATTAAATCAATCTCATTAATTGCATTGACTGAAATGTAAGGCAATAAGTAAGTTAAATAACTGTTTACAGTGCATCTTCTAAAGTACTTGTATTCAAATCGAAAAATAAATGTATTGTATATTAATTATTCAAATAACTATAAAAAAGTTTTAATATTTACGCATTTATTTTTTTAAATTGGGTAACACACAAACATTATTTGTCAATGGTAAGCTTAAATGTAGATACATACTCTCAAAACAAGCCTCAAAAATTATGAAAAATAAATGTATAACTTGTTTGAAATATTTTCATTTTTTGTAGTGTGCATAAAACGATTGATATACATTTGATTTTATCTATCTTTTTTTGATGCTTACTTTGCCTGTTTGCTTGGAAGGTTGACATTCACACTCCCAATGACGAGACTGAGATGAAGCCTTGAAAAGACAAGCAAAAATAACATTTAACTTGTAACTACAAAGCTAACCTTCCGAAACAGACTCATTTAATAATCGTACCCATTTTTCTTTGGAATAAATTCTTCCATTTGAAAGATTAGGCTTGGCATATTTTGAATGTGACCTTTGACCTTCTTCACCTCATTCTTCTCCTCTTCAGTCAGTCCTTTATCAAATCTATAATTCAGAGAAAATGTATATTAAATTGTTGCAATCATAGTCAGTATAACAGATCATAAAGGAAAAAAGTAAATAAAAACACATGTTACTTTGACAAAGCCTTTAAATTGTCCTTTAAATTCTTTTTCTGTCGAGATATGGAGGCAGCAAAGCTTTTTTGAAGTTTGGAGACTTCCTCCAACTTCTGCAAGTAAAGCCGGTGGGTCTCCTGGACACAGAAATGTTTTATATCCACAGAAAAGTTCAGTTGTTTTGTAAGGTCTTCGGTTCTGAATCTGAATAGATTCAGAAAGATAATATCCTACCTGAAGCTGCTGTAATTCTTTCTCCTGAACCTTCCATTCTTGAAGGGCTGTTGCGAGTGATGTCGACATGTAAACTTTATCAGTACAACTACTCAGTTAAACTAACCAGATTTCTCGGATAACTAAATGCAGTGAAACAAACTGTGATGGATACACAGCAATGTCTTCAATGCAGATTTCTGTGTCGAATTTAAAGAGAGCTTCAGCTTGAACTTTGTAGTGAACTTTGACAGACCAACTTGACTGACCTTTGACACACTTGGATGCTACATGTTCTAGGTTTCAGCACTGTGAATTCTGACATATGAAATAATGTGAAATTGTATTTAGCTATGACAGAAACTTCATTACACATATAAAAACATAATTACACCCAAGAAGAGTCATTTATGTTCTAAATTCTCATGCCTTAGTTGCATAATCCAATAATCCCTCATAAATTCCATTGATGAAAAAAAGAGCACTTAAAGTGAGAGAACAGCAGAAACAATGCAAACTTGAACTCTAATCGAGAGATAACAACATCTTTAAATTTAGGATACCTTACAGCAGCATTCAGGTCCAATATAGGCCTAATTTTGTTTCAATATCTTAAACTACTGCCTGGTCATGTATGGAACTTTCATTGAATACAGTACACTTTGGTGTCCCATTATTTTTGTATTTAAAGCATTATAGGCATAAATTCCCCCTTTATTGTGTGAGTCCTATGTGTGTATGTGTGAGATATAACTAAACTATATTAGTTTTTAGTGTTTTTACATTTATTTTATTACATTTATTTAATTTTGATGGTTTTTTTTCATATTTTTTACAAGAAAATTGTAAGATCACGCAAATTAGTTTTATGTTTAGACATGAATTAAAATTGTATTCGACTTCCTGATCAACAGTGGATCTAAGGCTGCATTTACACTGCAGGTCTTGATGCCCAAATCCGATTTTCTGATTATATCCGATTTTTTTTTTTGACGACCTGCTTAGGCTACATCATCTTTTAAAAGTGACCCATATCCGATTTTTGCATTCACAAACACTCAAAAGACATGAAACCTCCGCATTGCTCCACTGTATCCTTTCTTCCATCGCGTGGCTCGCGCCGCGCAGTTTTTAATGACGCATGACTCGCATTTACTGGGGTGGGGAATATCCGATTTGTCTGCTTACGCAAATGCGTGTATCTGATTCATATCCGATTTATCATTACATATGAATGAGGCCTGAATCCGAGCTGAGGAAATCGGAATCCATGCGTTTTTTTCCTGCTTCACCAGTCACCAGGCCTTATTTAATCACATTGAATTCTTCCACTGAAAATGTTTAATAAAGCAAACTTATTTGTTTGTTTAACGTCTTTTCAGGTGAATGCATCTGATCCGCAAGACTTTAGCCGTTTCTCAATACCAAGTACGCAAAGTTCGAACTTGCGTCCTTGGTAGTTCAGACTTGCCAAGTACGACTCAGGGGAACGAACTCCCGAGCACGAGAGGACGCAAGTCCGGTTCTTCTGCAAATCTGGAACAGAGCGTACTTGATCGCGTCACTCAGCACGCTGGCTACTCCGGTTATCTATTTATAATTTGGACCCAATTGTTATAAAAACAACGAAACGCCTAGACTGCTGGCTGCAGAGAGAAATTTCTTTGAAAGGCAGAGGTTTGCTTGTTAAAGCAGAGGGTCTGTCTCGCCTGACTTATGCCGCTCAGTCACTGTACATTGATAAGCGCACCCGGTAAAATTCGATGGAATTTTAGTAAAATTTTTATGTAAAAACAAATCCCATTATCTAAAAAAAAATCAGTGATACTTAATTCTCAAAAAAAGGGTGGCTTGAATTTAATTTATTTTAGTTTACTAAATAACACAATTAAAATAAATTGGCTTAATCGATTCCTTAAAAACCCCAACTTTAGGAATATTTTCCCTCAGCTTGCCTTCTCGCAACTTGGGGGTGCAAAGTTTGCTTTAATGTGTAATTATGATGTGTATAAACTCCCTGTCAAGCTATTTAACTTTCACCAACAAGTTCTTTTAGCATGGACTCTCCTTTACAAGCATTTTTCTCCTCATCGGTGTTACATATGGAACAATAGGAATATTTTATTTAAGTATGAGTCTTTGTTCTATAATCATTGGTTCTGTAATGTAATATTTCATGTTAGACAACTGTTTAATAACGAAGGTCTGCTTTTGGGGTATGCAGAGTTTCATTCAGAATATACAGCCCATTCTCACCCCCAAGGCGTCACTTAACTGACGCCTTGGGAAGCATTTGGACATGCTTCAATATCTGACGCTTTAGGCGCCCTTTAGCGTTAGGAAGAAGACGCCCTAGGATCGCGTGTACCCTACCCCCAACCCATACCTAAACCTAACCGCGTCCGTAGGATCGCGTCATGTAAGTGACGCTAAAGGGCACTTAAAACGTCAAATATTGAAGCATGGTCAAAGGTGACGCCTTGGGGTGAGAATGTCAAATATTGAAGCATGGCCAAAGGTGACGCCTTGGGGTGAGAATGCGTTGGAATATAATATGCGGTAACTCCCAAAGAGTTTGCGACAGTTATGGATGCTATTCCATCTGGCATACTCATGCTTTTCAAAAATAATACTGCCTCTTTGAGTTCATCTTTGCCTGAACCTGTCAATCCTATATTGGTGAGATATGTTTCACTGAAAAAAAGGAAGAAATTATAAAGTAAGAGTTCTGTTCCTTGAGAACATTATCCTGCAGTGTCATATTGGAATGGTCTTTTTGATAATTTAAATTGGCAAAAATATGGTCCATACAACAAAGGTTTCTCCTCACAAACAAAATCAAAGAAATATTCTTTAAATTAACTCATAATATTTACCCAGTTAAAAAATTTCCTTAGGAGAAAATTTAGATCTGATTTTGACACAATTGCTCTTTATGTCAGAATGACACTGAAACTCTTCTTCACTTATTTTGGTCATGCGATTTTACTCGGCAACTTTGGAAAGATGTTAGTGGGTTTATCTCGAGCAATATCCTGAAGAATTTCTCCATGAATCCCAAAACCGTTAATTTTGGGGTTTTTTGAAGCCGATTCAAATGCCTGCTTTATTATAAATCTACTTATTTTCTTGTGTCGATTTTATATTCACAAATGTAAGTTTTCAAATTGTAAACCAATTTTTCTGGTATTCTTGCATGAGATAAAACATTACTTCACTACAATTTCTTCCTCTACCCAAAAGCACTCAGAACATGTAAAATTTGTAAGTCCTACAAACTTTTTACTTTATTAAATGTTTAGATTTATTTTCATTTAAGTAATGCCCTCTTTTTTATTTTTATGTTTTATTTTTTATTTTCCTGTTCCTGTTTATCATTGTATAACTTCTGTTTTGTGCTATTATGTTGTTGTGTTATTATGTTGTTTTACTCTGTGAACTGAATGTTTAAATAAAGCATTTAAAAAAAGGTTATCTATTTACATATTTTAGGCAACAATAAAACGAAATATGCTACAACTCTGCCTCTTTTTGTCAAAAATAAAACGAAATTTGTTATGAAACACCACTTTACCTCTTTTCATTAAAAAAATCTTAAACGTATTTGGCCATGTGGTTCAGGCGTATATTGATTATCTTCACTCCATATTTTAATAACAAAATGAACATGATCTTTTTGTTTTCACTTTAAAAATATGAAACATTAGGCCTATTGATTTTTATTGACATTTAAAAAAACAAAGACGGAGTTCATTTTATTTTATTGTTCATAGTGAAGATCATATTAAAAATTGAAATAAATAAATAAAAATATTTATTTAAAATAACACAATAAAACGATTTTTTTTTTTTTTGCAATGGACCAAACTAGTTGAATGAGACGAGACCAAAGATAGACTTTTACAAGACGAATACGTCAAGTTTATCCACTAGACGAGACATCTGCCAGCGGCAAATGTCAGAAGCACTAGCCGAGGAAAAGCTGTTCCAGTCGGGGTTGATGAGCGCTGGGCGCGTAGTTAGTACCTCAGAGTGCACTCTGGACGATGGGGCGGGGCGGGGCGAAACTTTTGGGCGGAGCGAAACGTGTCGCCCCGCCCACCTTAACGTTTATTGGTTTATAAGAAAGATGATCTTATTGGTGCAGAGAAGTGTGATGCTATTACAGATTATTGGTGCAGAGCAGAGTGCAGAGCATAGACAGTGGTGCAGATAAATGTGACGCTTTGGGCAGGCTGGGAATGTGGAAGAACACAACAGGCGAATAAACTTGTTGATTTTGCGGTCATTATTTCGATTTCACAATAATCCATTGAAGTAGATACAAAGAGAATAGAAATAAGGGTCTAATTCACAATCACTCCCTCAACAGCTAGTAGATGGTTCGTTACCTCTGCAGAGAGAGAGAGCAAACTATAGCGGACATGTCACCAGTCTCACCTGATAGTAACCACGAGTTTCCATTAGAACCTACGAATGTTTTTTTTTTAACTACATATACAGCTGTTAAACCTCACTGACCATACGGATTATAGCGCCAAAAAGCCATGATAATCACAAATTAACTATGGTTGTGCTAAGATTTCCTTTACATGAGAGTAGATGTTAAAACTTCATGCTGATTTATACTTGGCTTTCGCCAAGGTAAGCTAAGACGTATCTTTACAGTAACCTATGCTTCTCCATCCATTTACGCTTCTTTCCATATGGTGGTGTGACTCCCCTTCTGTCCGGCACTAACGGCTGCAGTGTACTTGCCGCGTCAGCGCACACGACGGCTGCAACTACAGTGTGGTCTCCCTAGTGGACCACCACGACAACCGTCTGGATTGAGCCGAGTAGGGGACATCTCTAGGGTCTTCAAGTGGGCACCTTCCATTCTCAGTGTTTCGTCGACTAGCCCACGACAACTCAAGAGGGCTCGACAGTGACCCTGGCATCCCAGAGTCACCCCCCTCCGTCCCCCACTCAACTCAGCCCAGCTTACTGACCCCTACAGAGACCTAACCATACGCGCCAACCCGTTTGATAATGGCTGTCGAGCCCCACTGGTGCGTTATAAAGCAGTTTCAGTGGCAAACGGTTCCGTATGGCATACCACCTACCGCAAACCACAATATCTGGCCAATCACCGTCATTCAAACAATATTCACAGGAACGTAATGACTGTAATTTCAGTGCAACCAATACAAACAGACTCTTAAAGAATTCTACGAAACCGTAGCGTGGCGGCCTGTACATAGCCAGCTAGAATTTTTCCATCTCAACCACAGCCAGTTGCTGCTCCTTTCTGCTGCTTCAGATAAGTTCTTTACCGTGCAACACAACTCTTGGCCACTGAATCCGACGTCTCTGAGGACACCGGGTTGTAGAGTGTGCCAGAAAACCTCGACAACCCACTTCCACTGGATAAACTTGGACTCTCCATCCTCGTTGCTCTTCTTCAGTGGCCAGATGAGCATACCGCAATTTCTTCCTCTCATATGCTTCATCTACCGCATCCTCCCATGGCACTGTTAGCTCTATCAGCTGAACAATGCGTGCTGATCCAGACCACAAACAATATCTGGTCGTAAGTTAGTGTTAGCAATCTCAGGTGGAAAAATAAGCCGTTGATTAAGATCAGCCAGCATCTTCCAGTCCCTAGCAGCTTCCCGTTGTCCTGGGCGAGAATTGGTGTTAACACCTTTTCTTGGTGGTTGCTCGCCAGGGCGGAGGAATATTGTCTTCTGCGTGTAATGTTTTTCAGGCGGCAACTTATTGGTCATACTACGCTAGCCCTCCAATGCTAAAGCCAAACATCGCAGTACTTGGTCATGGCGCCAAGTAAACCGACCTTGGCTAAGAGCTACCTTACATCCTGTCAGAATGTGCCTTAACGTGGCAGGTGATGAACACAAAGGACAAGAGGGATCCTCTCCTACCCAGAGGTTTAGGTTCTGCGGTGATGGGAGGACATCTTATGTTGACCTTATAAGGAAACTGATCTTACTCTCTTCCATTGGCCAAAGGTCTTGCCAGCCCAACTTGCGTTGTTCCACACTCTCCCATCTCATCCACTCTCCCTGCTTGGCCTGGGAAATGGCCTTTATACACCTCATCCTCTCCTCCTGCTTTCGCACCTCGTTGACTACCAGCTTCCTCCTTTGAGCTGGGCCTGCCTTGTGCCATTTAGGAAGAGCTACACTAAGCCCAAACCCCCTCTTCCATGCTGTACCTGTCCTACAATATCCCCAACTTGAAGGGCAGCCTTTGCCTCTACTACAGATTTCTCTGCTGACCACTTCCTACCAGTTTTTAACACAGGGGCTGCCTCCCTTACACATTTGTCACGTGACTCTACGTGACTCTAAGGTCATTTCCAGCCTGACCTTGGCACACTTAAACTCCTCGGTTAAAGCAGAGACTGGCAGCTGCAATATTCCTTTACTATAAAGTCCCACTCTGCTGAGGCAGTGTGGAACTCCCAACCATTTCCTGATGTATGAACTTATTAACGCTTCACGCTTATCCACTGTTGTCAAAGAAACCTCATACACAGTCAGTGGCCACAGCAACCTCGGCAGTAGACCAAACTGAAAGCACCAGAGTTTTAGCTTGCCTGGTAGAGCACAGCTGTTTATGCTCTTCAACCCTTCCACTGCTTGCCGTCTAACTTCTCCCACTCGACCTGTGTCCCTTATATCCCCATCGTACCATCTTCAAAGACTCTTCACTGGCTTTATTTATAAAAAACTGCTATATTTATAAAAAAGTTTAATTATAGTATTTGTGCGTTTACATAAATGTAATCAATAACTATGTTGGTTGTCTATCTATACATGCCCTTAAGAACACAACAAAACAAAGACTTTGTCACTTTTTCTTTATTATAGACTCTAAACTGCACTTATGCATCGGCAGAATGGAATTTATGCAAACCGTTACCTTAAAGAACCAAGGTACCTTACCATATGCACAATGAGTAAAACCTATGTTTTTGTCATGGCTTTTCATTAGAACACTATACAGGTGAAACTCGAAAAATTTTAATATTGTGCAAAAGTTATAATTTTTATGAACACCAAATTCAAAACCTCACAAAATTAGAATATTACAGAAAAGTAAGCCCTCGGAAAAGTATAACCATGCAAATGTATATAGTTATTTATATTAAATATATTACAGTAGTTTCACCTTTTAATTTGAATTACTGAACATGAACTTTTGCACGACATTCTAATTTTTATAGTTTCACCTGTAAGTTTAACTTTTAGTTGCATCAATTACTACATCAAAACCAGTTCATCTCTCAATTCCCATGTACACGTTTTGAGTTTTACAGAAATTCATTTCCAGCAGCAAAAAAAAAAAAAAAAGTCCTGTGCGCAAAATCCTCTACAAAGATCTTCGGAGTAAAAGCCCAGCAGTTCACCTCGTCTTCCTCTTCCCCTGTACCCTGGTGGATAGGACTTGAAAAGCTCCAAGCATTACCTGATGCTGTAGATACGTCAAAACTCATCACAGTAGAGACATTTTTTTCCAATTGACCACACCTTAAAATGTAAAGACAAAATACAGAAAAGATATAAGTGTGGAGATTCAAGTGTAAATGTCACATACCACAAATTTCAATCCAAGAAATGTTCATTGAACAGGAAAAAACATCTTACTGTCTAGGCAGGCAAAGTGTGCTGCTTTCTGGAAAATTTCATTTGTGACCACATCCCTAAACCATCTGCATACCAGTAAAAGGGTCAAATATGCAGAATGACCAGTTGCTAAAACAACTTCCTTGAGGATCTCGGAAATTATTTCATGGGGAAGCTGTTGAAGCAAAAATCATTGTTATTTATACTTGTACAGTGGTGCGAATAAGTTTGGACACCCATGCTAAAGTTGCCTAAAAAGAGGAATAAAAAAATCATCTTTTGGATATTGATATTAATGCCTTAATTAGAAAAATGAGAAAAACTCCAACCTTTAAGGACACAAATTTTCTTTGTGAATGAATAATGTATCATAAATAAATAAATGTTTTTCCTTAAAATACAGGGTGCATAAGTCAGTTATGTCCCTATGTTAAATTTCCATAGAGTCAGGCAGATTTTTATTTTTAAAAGCCAGTTATTTCATGGATCCAGGATAATATGCATCCTGATAAAAGTTCCCTTGGCCTTTGGAATTAAAATATCCCCACATCATCACACACAATTCACCATGCCTAGAGATCGGCATGGTTTTACTTCAGTTAGCCTAATAGCTGGTTTGATTTGCATTGAAAGATGATCTTATGGAAAGTACCCCATGCCAATCTCTAGGTGTGGTGGAAGGTGTGTGATGATGAGGGGATATTTTAATTCCAAAGGCCAAGGGAACTTTATCAGGATGCATATTATCCTGGATCGATGAAATGGATCGATGGCTTTTAAAAATAAAAATCTGCCTGACTCTATGGGAATTTAACATAGGGGTGTCCTGACTTATAGACCCTGTATTTTAAGGAAAACCATTTATTTATTTATGATACATCATTCATTCACAAAGAAAATTTGTGTCCTTAAAGGTTGGAGTTTTCCTCATTTTTCTAATTAAGGCATTAAGATCAGTATCCAGTATTTTTATTCCTCTTTTTAGGCAACTTTAGCATGGGTGTCCAAACTTATTCACATCACTGTATATAAATGTTGTTGAAAAAAATATAAACCTTGGTTCAGACAAACCGGACATATTGTTGCCATAACTGCATGCTCTGAATAAAATAATAAATAAATAGATTAATATTCTCTTATAATGATAATATTAAAATAAATATTGCTCCAACACACATTAGCCGCTTTCCCCACTGTCGGGCCAGTGTGAGCCAGGGCTTTCAAGGGTCGGGCGGTGTTAACCCTCTGATGGTCTTCAAAAAAAAAAAAGTCACACTCGTGGTCTTCGGGGTCTATTGGACCCCAGACAATAAGATTTAATTTTGTAACAGAACAATATATTTTTTTTAACAAATATAATCTTACTCTGTTTATTAATGTTTTACTCAACATTTGTGCAGTTTTCAGGAGGATTTATGATTTGTTTTTAATTTCTATAAATAAATAAATATTTATTTAAATAGGATTTAAAAAAAAAAAAAAAAAAAAAAAGAGCCAGTTCTTCAGTTTTTATAAAAGAACCAGATTTCTTACTTTTATTCCTGGGGATACCATGGATAATTTTACAAGGTTTAATGTAAGATTTTTGGAAAAAAAAATTTTTTTTGGAAAATACAGGTTAAAATTTGTAATAAGTCAATTTAACCACTAGATGGCTATAGAGCTCCACTACGCCTATATACTATTTGAATTACTGAAAGGTATTTTTCTAAAGTTGGATTCAGATCTAAATATTATAAAATCACAATTATAACAAAAAAATACTTTGTCAGTTTAGCATTTGTTTTGTACTGAAAACATTTTTCTTCAATAATGTCACATTATGATTAGAATCAAAAGTAAAAAACATGTTACGAGAAAACATGTAAAGAGAAATGTTGGAGTCTTGAGATTTGATCATTTATTTCAACTGAACAGCAATAACAAATTAGCAAATAAAGCAGTAAAAATAAAATATTTGTAGAAGAAAAAAGTAAGTGGGGAAGAAAATCAAACAACTAACAATAGTTTGGAACAATAGAACAATAGTTGGTCTCTTTTTTTCTCATCCATTGTATCTTTTTTATAGCCTTACAAATGTATTCCTTTGTGTGTGTGTGTGTGTGTGTACTTTTTCAACGTGTCTTAGTGCTACCAATTTATTTTTGCGGTGGTTCTGCATTTTAGAGTATTTTATTTTACAAATGATAAGAGAACAGTTTTTATAGTCTGTATGTATTCCTGTATATTGTATTCCTCTATACGTGTGTGTTTGTGTGTGCGCATGTGTGAGCATGATAGTTTTGGATTGTGGAAGTTTTTTGCATTGTTGGAAGTGTGCCACTTTATTTCTGTCATTTCTGTCTGTGTTCTGCGTTATTTCTGCTTAATTTTGTCTCTGTTTGATCCAATGATAAATAAATATTTATTTATAGATATTTAAAAGATATCATAAATCCTCCAAAAACTGCAAAAATGTTGAGTAAAAACTTTAATAAACAGTAAAATTATATTTGTAAAAAATATATATATATATTGTTCTGTTACAAAATTAAATTTTATTTTTTTGGGGTCCCGAAGACCACGAGTGTGACTATTTTTGTCACGCCTACATAAAAACAGATAACATTCCTTTTTTTTTGTAGATCTAGAAAGTGTAGAAGAGCTGTAGGAAGTTTCATACCATTTGGAAAAAGAGAACTTTTTTTTTTAATTCAAGCTAAAGTAATTTGGGACCCCAAAGACCATCAAGAGGGTTAATAGCCTTGGACCTGCACCAAGCACAAAATCACACAGTGTTTCCACCGTTAGGACAGAAGCTCTGCAGTGCTTCACTAAAGTCCTCCTTTAACATGCCTGTCTTGAACAATGACAAATAACTCCATTGTTTCACCAACAAATGGAAGTTTTACCAGAAAACTATTCAAAGAAATTGCTGGAAACTAGTAAGATACTCAAGACAAACATGCAGCCAATTTTTTGCATGTTTTACAATAAGTGATACATTGATCCTAATTATTTTGTGTCAGGATTGTATTAGTGACATTTAATAACATCTGCATATTTTCGGCAGTTTCTTTTCCAATAACGGACCGAATAGTTTTTCACACGTCTTTCTCGCTGCCATTAATGAACTCAAACTGACGCGCTACATCAACGCCATCGTTCTCAGCCACTCCCTCTATTCGCTGATTGGTCCTACAAAAAATTGATTTCTGGAAACCTAAGGATATACAGCAATCCCAGACGTAGTACTGAAGGAAAATGAAATTGAGCGGAAGTGCGTAGGAGGGCGCAGCCAGGCTAGAATAAATAGACAGTATTTTCATTTTTGGGTGAACTATCCCTTTAAACCCCGACTAAACGGCCTCTCATAGAGCACAAACTGTGAGTAAACAAAGTGGAGCTGGTTTTGTTTTTACCTTGGCTTTCTTCATACGATTCATCACATTCCCAAGGTCCTCCATGTCAATGACGGAGCCATGAGACTTCTCTTCATCAGCAGAGGACTTTGCATCACTGCTGGACTCCATCAGTTCCTCCTGAAAAACAAACGAGAACAAAAATGTTAAATTTCTCATATATTATATACATATAGAAGCATATATTTCTGTAAAAAAAAAAACTTCTGCATACCCTCAGGCGAAATCCTGCAGGCACGCCTGAAGTGAAACACATCGTTTTAAAGTCATCATTTAATGCCAATAATTTGGGTGGGATTTTATCCGTCAGGATTTGGTTGGATCAAAAGTGGGATGTAATATTATTTGTTGAACCTTAAAGTCACTACTACAATACTAGGTTCTGGGTGTTGGTGTGATGTCAATAGAGAACTCTATGACCATGTTTACACCTGGTATTAAGATGAGTTTTAATACCAGAGGGCTGTTTCACAAAAGCAGAATTTAGAAATCCAGGATAAGAGATAAAGCTGGGCTTGACCTAGTGTGATCAGTGCATCCTGGCTTTATCAGTTTCACAAAGGCCAAACCAGGCTCAGGAGGAGCAGCCATGTCAAGCCGGGTGTAAGTAATTCAGATAAGTGGGAGTCAACAGCATTCTTCAACAGACCACACAGTCTATCACAGATTCATTGATGCTACAATGGATAAGTTGCGTGCACCATACTTCCAGTGTTGGGTGTAACTAATTACAAAGTAATTAGTTACTGTAATTTTATTACTTTTCCTTGAAAATGTAAAGTAAGGGATTACTCTTCATTTATCTGTAATTTAATTACAGTTACTTCTGATGTAATTGAGGTAAAAACTGTGTAGAGATCAATCCGATCTCACAGCGATCCGTATGCATTTTATGAGGTGTCTAAATATTACGACCGCACTCGTACAAATTCGTATAAATTATTGTAAAATATGTATGAAAAAAGTGTGAAATGTCATGAGATCAGACATAAAACAATAGTGGATTTAACATCAAAATGTAGCCTATTGTCCGATGCTAAAAAGTATGTTTTTATAATGCAACCTTCTCCACCTTGGTCAGTTTAAGGATAATTCATGCAATTTTATAGTATTTGTTTGAAAGAATTAAAACAGATTCATGTCTATCCTTCTATTATTCAGCTGGTTGAGATTGATATGGGATTTTGAAAGTAATTAGTAATTAAAAGTAATTAAATACTTTTTATAGAGAGTAATTAGTACAGTAATCTAATTACACTGTTGAAGAGGTAATTAGTAACTAGTAATTAATTACTTTTTTAGAGTAACTTACTCAACACTGCTCACAGCTGATTAATTTATGTTACACAGCTTATTAATTTATGTTCCTCTTTTTTGTTGCACATCCTATCAATATTTATACAGAACAAACATGACTGGACCAAAGAGGACCTGGCAACAGGTCAAGATCAAATATGAGAACTGATAAGTGTCTGATAAAATTTTGGGACCCAACAGTCTATATCAGTGGTTCTCAAACTTTTTCAGGAGGAGGCCCCCTTGTGTAGGGTGAATCCTTTTGTGGCCCCCCAAAAGAAAACTCATAACGAAAACATCCTCAAACGTACAATTTTACTTACAAATTTTAGATTGTACCAAAAACAAATGAATTTGTACAATGCTGGAACAACAGTTCTGTTTTTAGCTTTATGTCTTTGAATATACAAAATTAGTTAAATTGTACATTTCATTAAATATAACATTTTTTTTAATAAAAAATGGTTTTGACAGTTAACAGTAATATTGTCTGAAAAGTGCAACAAAAGTATTGAATACTGAACATTTGTGATGTTCATAGTAAAAGATAAACACTGAAAAATTAATTTGCTGATTGTAAAAAAGTGCATTAAACTTCTTACATTTTAAGGTAGTAAATGACAGTGGCTCAAGTTTGGTTTGCAAATTTGAACAGCAATCTGTTTTTTTTTTCAGCAAGAAACAAAAAAAAAAATTCTACTCTACTTAAAGAAATAGTTTTTCAATATAGAAGACATACAATTTTATACAAGTTTTACAATATAAAAGAAATCATGCAATGCAGATTTTACATAGGACAATCCAAACTTACATACAGGTAAAATAATTTTTTTAAATAATTTCATATTCTAGAATTTCTTTGCGGCCCCCCTAGCACCATCTAGTGGCCCCCCAGGGGGCCACGGCCCCCAGTTTGAGAACCGCTGGTCTATATTACACAGGTAGCGGATGCCATCCCCAGAAAAGCAGTAGGGTAGAGAAATTAAAAATTTATTTTTAATATTTATTTAGGGTTTTCTGTTTTTCTTGATGATAGTGATGAACAAATACTACATCAATTAGGCCTCGTGTAGAAATCAAAATATTCAAATGTTAGAAATTTGGCTATTTTGTACATTCCTGAAATAAATATTAATAGGTATATATATATATATATATATATATATATATATATATATATATTATGTTGTTGCATTACTTGCCTTTTACTTTTAGACATTAAAAACTATGTTCATTTGGCTGTTGATCTATGAAGGAAACTGGTTGGTAAGAAAGGGGGCATTTTACCCCACCTTGGGGGGTGTTTTACCCCACCGCTGGGGCAAAATGCCCCCGTTGTACAAAAATATTTTCAGTCAAAAAAAAAATAATTATGAAGGTTGAGCAATTTTAACATTTGGTAAATAACTCCTGCCAAAGACACATTTAAAATTGGGATGGCAATTCTAATCACATTTATGTTTTGTTTTACAGTAATGTCACATTTTCCTTAAGGGGGGCGTTTTCCTCCACTCTACCCTAACGCTCTTGCAGGTAATTGTCGGGTAAAGCCAATGGGTCGGACCTGTCCCGAAACACTCTTTCACGTCTGTGTGGTGGAAAATTTTAAACTGAATATTAAGCTAACCATGTTTTAACATTTGACCTCATTTAACCAGCTGAATATCTGAGACAATGTACTAAGACATTCTGTACTTCAGATGAATGTATGTATGCGTGTCAAACACCTGACTGTGTATAAATAACAAATATGGGAAATGGAACTAGACAGATGACTAAGTTAGAAACATTAAAACAAAGTCTCCTCTACCCAGTAACAAAACAGTCTACCTATGACGAACCAATGAATTTAATGTCATTATGGCATGCCTCCATATTGTATAAAAACTGTTGTATCAGTGTTTTCGGGGGGATTCTCAATGGAATTTGTCTGAGATCCACCGGCCTTGTTTTTACTTGGGAAGTTCTCTGAGTATTGCTCGAGAACTCTCCTGGCCGTAATTAAAAGCATTGAAAGGACATTTGCTGGAGTCTGTCTGTTATTTAAGCTGCGCAGCAAGAACAAGTAAGTTAGAATTATTAGCACCCGGCGGACGTTGACTGTAGATGCGCCAGGGTTATAGGATTAGAACCTGGCGGACGTCGACTGGAGATGCGCCAGGGTTATAGGATTAGAACCCGGCGGACGTCGACTGGAGATGCGCTAGGGTATAGGGTAGGTTTAATTGACTCAGCGGACGTCGATGTGTAGATGCGCTGGTAAAAGTATAAGACTTGGCCAACTAGAGTGAGTATTATTGTAGAGTAGTCAGGTTCAGGGAAAAAATCCATTACATCTGAAAGGCCTTCTCAATATAAGTGCTTCATCAGATGTCATCCAAAAATGGGCATGCCATTGTAAAGGACGAAACATGTGTTCAGAGCTACTTATATTGCCTGACTTGATTGACAAAACTTTTGCTTCTTTATCAGCCATTTCTCTAATTCCCTCATCACATAAAATTGCCTATTAAAGACCTATCTGTCAAACTTAGAACAACAGTAGTCTTCAAAAACACAATTGAATAGTAACAATGCCCATATGGATAATTATTATTATAGTTAATAATGGTAGGCTACCATCATAATGTTACAATAATAATAGTAGGCTATACTTGACTGAATGCCAATATGTATCTGAGGTATTTTAATGCAGGCTGATAAAATTGCACTGAACATATAGATGACAAAACGGAATAACTGACAAAACACATTGGATTCGGATCTGCATGACCGCTGACTGAACAGATAAGGCACGAGGATTGACTAAGCCTGGCTGTTAGCCTGGTCTGGAGCAGGCTAGCTGCACAGAATAAATCGCCATGGTAACTTATGTACTGCTTTCGTGAAACCGAGTCCCGGCTTAATTCAGCCAGGATATCTGGAAAATCCTGGCTTAATCCGCTATCTTGGTTTTGTGAAATAGCCCTCAGGGTCTAAAACGTTTTGAGCTTGTCCACTTTCGGCCACTTCCTGAGGTAGTCGAAAACCCATGATATGAGGAGGGGGGGTATGATCTTTTCTTGACCGTTTTTGAGATTTACCTAATGTTACCTAACCGTGAATATATCACATGTTCTCCTATATAACTGCTGGAAGGAAAACAACTGGGGTCTTTTAGACTATGAGCTGTCCTGTGATGGATGGGTTCAGCTCAACTTTGCACTTTTAGTGGAAAAACGGAAACACCACTAAGAATTTTCTTTTACTTTTTAGAAGTAGTTGTGTTTTTTCCTTTATCTGGCAGTTCTGAAGTCATTCAGGGACACTTAAATTAAATGATAATTTGCTCTTTAAACTCTTGAGGTTCAATTATTTAGGTTCTAATGAAATAAAACGCTGGTCAATCTTTTTACATTTCACTCAGGGAGAAGTATTGTGATTATCAGCCTTAATATCAATCTTTCCTTTAAATTTTAGTGTGGTAAGTGGTAATTAAAGAGCACCCATCATGGATTTTTGAAAATGACTGTTCATGTAGTGTGGAATGAAAACATCCTGCAAAGATTTATATCTGATAGTGCACCGTATATAAAGTTATTGTCTTTCAAAAGTGAGAGTCGACTCCGAGTCTATGAAATGAATTGTTTTTGAAACGAGTCATTCGCTGTTTCATCGTGACGTAGATACAAAATATTAGCTCATTGGCCGCTCCCAACAACTGCGTGCGCAGACGGGAGTGTAAACCACAACAGTATAGCCCGAACCTTGTGTTCTCATCATTTTAATGACGAATCATTCAAAAACATAAATTAATTCAAATGTGGATTCGCAAGCCGGTTGTTCCCAAAGGAGGGCTCAGTATCCAGTGTATATGGATCAGGTTCGTCCTCCTCCGAATCATAATATAGTTATATTGTGTTGTGTGTGTTGTGTACACTCCAGTCCACGCAGCTTCTAAGCGGGTAGTTTCTAAGTTAGTTTTGTTTTTGAGATTCACCAGACATTCATTGAAAAATGGCAATTACCTCCTAAACGACTTAGCCAAATATGACTTTGCTCTATATAATAAGTAGAGCCCGACCGATAAAGGATTTTGAAGGCCGATACCGATACAAATATTTGTTGGTTTTAAAATCCGATGTTCCGATATATCGGCCGATATTATTATTATTTTTTTTTATTTAAGAAACGAGCAACAAAATATTATCAGATTTCCCTAACATTAGTTATTTAATTATGAGTTTTAACTAAAATAATATGATAATGCATAACTGGTTCTCTCTGCCTGACTCTGGCTGGATAAGCAGGTTGCAGGATGTGTGGCGCGTTATACACGAGTGTTGCCAACAGGGACTGTGTAGAGTGCCCTCTGGTGGACAAACTATACAACTCCAACACTCTTGACATGGTTGAAGCGTGAATTGCCAGTTTTTATTTTAGAAACATTCATTTATTGGCCATTATAACTGCCGATACCGATAATTTAGAAAATGCCTAATATCGGCCCATGATATCGGCCTGCCGATAATATCGGCCTGCCGATATATCGGTCTGGCTCTAATAATAAGCACTGCCCCTCAAAAGCCGCCGCAATGTGAGTTTCACCGGGAAAGCTTGCTCTTGACGGAGACGCGAGTAAGGGACCGTGTGGAAAGTGCACTTTTTCTGACACGTTCGTTCAAGCACTATATACAATTTTCAACACTTGACAAGCTATAATTCTGGTTATGGGCGTTCCGTTGCCGACAGTCTCTGCCTACGGTTTACCAATAACAACTAACTGGGTCATTTGACCAATCGCCGCAGATTCACGTCACTCAAAGGAGGTGTTTGGTAAAATGAATCGTCGAACGAATCATTTGGGAGTCGTTGAGCAAAAATAAATGCATATTATAAGACAAATAAAGCGTTTTTTATCCTTGCATGCACGTTAAACTGTTTTTGGGAACTCCCAAAACAAAAATATGAACATTTCAAATGCTATGATTGGGGCTCTTTAAAAGATATGAAGCTCCCAGTTATTCCTATTATATTCTTCATTCCTAAAGATATATTCTTATCATAAAGTCATGACAAATCCTCAAGTTTTAATAATCCATTTCCACTTCCTCAAAACTGAAAACGACCCGCATTTCTGAAATGCAGTATGGGACCAGTGCAGCACATTTTGGGCTGTGAAATAACACTGAAAACAAGCTATGCTCACCTCCTCAGCCAGTCTGTCATCTGGGTCATAATCTTTCACATCTATAACCTCACACTGGATCCCCTGTGTGCTGACGTCTTCAGCGAGCTCTTTTGCAAACCCCTAGGCAAAGTTAAGAATAGTAAATCACACACTGGCATGTGATTCTTAGAATTAGGCCATTTCACAAACATCATAATAACATTTTTTTATACTGGTATATACCTTTGCTGTTCCTGTCTATGATCCATAGAAGACTTTGACCCCAGAAACATTAATGACCTTTTCTGTTACAGGTGAAAGTTCCTGTTTTTTTGCAGACTTATATGGCCATGGATTTACAGGGTTGACCGTTTTTGTCTATAAAAGAAAAAGACAATGTTAGTTGTGCGTTCATTATAAACTACAAAGCAAAACCTAACAAAGACTTTAAGTAGCAGAGAATCCTTAAGCGTTGACACGCTTAATTACCTTTTTGAAAAGCGTGTTGACAATAAACCAGACTCCTATGAGAACAGCGGCAGTAATGTACACATAAAACCTGCCCTGCCACACAGACAGCAGGTAACTCTCAGTGAAATCCCAAACGTCATTCAAAGCACCTGTGAATGCAAGAAAATACAATTTCTGCAAAATAATAGCACGTGACTTGTCGGGAATGATGCAAGCACAAAATAAGCAACATTATAGTTGTTGATAAGATAGACAATCGTTGTGGAACGACTGTGTATCACAAGCTAGTACGCTGTCTACCTAAACAGCATCGTTTACCTTATAGCCGAGTTAAAAAAACGCCGAGACTGGTGAGGAAGGTAGGAAGCACATTAGGTGTTGCCACACAGCCTAACCGTCCAAAAGTAAGTGCAAGTGCATTCTAGAGCATGGCTACACTGTTATATATGATTAGCCGTTTAATTTAACTCATATTCTATGGGTTAATATTAGCCATGCGTTTCAACCTACCTTGCAAATCAGCGCCGACTGAATACACCAAACTCGAAAACACCGCTAAAAACAACATTTTCTGTTGTCTATCGAACAAGACAGTACTGTTTATAAATATATAACATCAGCCATACAAATATCTAACTTTAGTTGTCGCATATAAATATCTGGCTCACTTTACGGCTGCACGTCCAAGGACGCCGCCATATTGTTATGACAAGAATGCTGGGAAATTGAGGTCATCTCAGGTCATTTAACTCCGCAAGTGAGGAGGATTCACTGCTTGATTTTTTTAATCATAATAATACGTATAATCATCCACGTGAGTCTTCATTGGTTGAATCAATTATGCATTTAATTTGTTTATAACATGTAAATAAAAAATAAATAAATAAATAAAGCACTATTGTTATTGTGTTGTTGTAATTAACATTATTATTATTTAATTGTATTAGTTAATGTGTTGGTCTAATTAATCGATAGTTTACATAAAACAAATAACACTCTTCATTCTTATCGTTTATTCAAGTCTGGAAATTTCACACAAACAACTTTATTATAGATTGTTCAACATCCAACATCCGTTCAAAACAAAATGCATCTGCATGGTCTCTGGAAGATAAACATTTTTGTGTAAGGTCCATTATTGACTTAAATTTCACATCTTATATTTCAGCTTATTTTGCCCAAAAAAAAAAAAAATTAAAAAAAATAAAAAATTATACGAAAGCTTTTAAAAATCACAGCCTCTTGGTATTTTGCTGGGTTTGGCGTTTGTGACGAAAAGTTGCAAGTGTTGTGAAAAAATTTCCCGCAAACAGAACCAGAAAGCACAAGCCACACATGGAAACCTACAGTGAAAAGAGATGAAGATATCAATGAAACATAAGATTATTGCAACTTCAAAATCACACTTTCAACAGATTTATTCGTAGGCTATACTGAATGTGACATATTCTATCACTTCAGTGTCGTGATGTTGTGGAAAGATCTATAGAAATAACACTGACCTGCCATTCTTTACATTCAGGGAGCTGAACCATTCTGAACAGGGAAATACTGTTCCAAAGCTGCCAGAACTGCATGACACATAGACATAGACACAACATTCAGTGTTCAACAAGATATACACCAAAAATGATTACTGTTCATATAATGGCATTTCCTTTGTGGTTCCATTTTCAAAGATTTATTAAAATCTGACTATGCTTTGACTATATTTATATTCTGAAATATTAAAAACAAATACTTACATGACCCAGGAAGAGAAAGGGAAAAATAAATGTTAGTCTCCGCGACATCCACGACTGAAATCCCTCTGTTTAAACAAAAATGATGTTTATAGCTTTAAAGTGACATCAAGCTTTTCACTTTCTTCAAGTCAGAAATCCTTACCAACAGTCAAATCCAAGTTGTGTCGTTCCCCTAGTGCTTGCCTGTAGAGACACCCACTTTGATAGTAGTAGTAATAAAGACACTGCTCAAAGCCTAAAAGAGAAAGTGATACGTTTGCCTTCAAGATCTCTCAATATTACAGTGTTAGTATTTTTCATTCAGCAGATGTTTTACAGAGTGGTGTTAGCATGTGCTTGTAACTTACCTTGATACAAACAAAAGATCAGAAATGAGTTCCTGAAAGACTGGTATGTTTCACCATCTGGCCTATACAAAAGAATTTTTGTTTGAGGGCAAATACCAGCAATTTATTCATAATTCTCTATAGGACTGACAGGAAGAACGAAAGACTCGGACCCAACCGAACCCGAAGAAATTCTTACTAGTAACAATTCAGTTGTAGAGTGCTCTAATTAAAAATGAGTGGAAGTCTATGGAGACATGTGACTAGTAAAAATTCATTTGTAGAGCTCTCTAATTGCAATTGTTACTATTAATAATTGAATTAGACAGTTCTCTGATTGTAATTCTTATAATTAAATTAGAGAATTATTAATTCAATAATTAAATTAGTGTTCGTTCTGTGTTGAAACGAAAGTCAATCAACAATCGTGGGAGAGGCGTCCGTTTTATTGATGTCGCAAAAAATTCTCATTTTGAGGCAGGGGAAAACAGATAAGAAGATTAAAACAAAAACACTGGATATATTTTTATCATTAGGCTATATGATGGTTGTGCACAGGCACTGCCACGACATTTCAGTGCAATCAACTTGAAAAAAGTGCATGTACCATTATATGACCCATTTAAAATGTATTATGCATTAAAACATGAAAAAAACAACCAATTGCAGATGTAACAAGGAAACTTTGGTCAGAATTATTTATGAAAATATATCATTTGTGCTGGCAAATAATCATGATGAATTGCATCGAACATAAAAAATGTGTGCGCGTGTGTGTGTGTGTGTACACACACAGTATATATTTCCAAACTTTTGTTATAGCGATTAATCGTGATTAATCGATTTGACAGTATAGATATAATTCATTATAACTTACATTATGAATAAATTATAATGCATAAAGGCTTCGGTCAGACATTAATAGTCGGAAATGACTCACCAGGTTAGCATGACCCCAAACAGAAAGATGGTAATGTAGTGGTGGAAAACCCACCAGCCTTTAATCCTATATAAATCAAAGCATATACAAGGTTTTAGAGATGGCACAAGCCAGATAGGTCCTTGAGAGATTATTAAATCCACCATTGATCAAACGTTTCGCATGTGAATGCAGCAATGTCACATCTTCAAACCTGAAAAGACTCTTAAAGTTTCATCTGACAGTTTCTGACCTGGATCCATTGCTGATGAGGATATTGTCACGGATTGCCAGGGTGCAAAAGTACCAAACCAACAGGAAGTAAAAAAGGGCATCGAAAAATCTACAGACACACACCAAAAGCAAGCATGAAATGTGAAGTGAGGGAAGACTTGTCAGACAGACCCGTGTGAACTCAGTCTTACCTGTAGCTGATGAAGAAGCGACATATGAAGGCCAGCAGGAACAGAATAACGTTCACATACAGCTTGAACCTTTCATGCTCATCTTTGTATTCAGCTCTGCATTACAAAGTGTACACGCATATGATAAAATAAGTTTACAATATAAGCTGAAAGTCGATAAACTGAGAAGCAAAATTGTGTACATTTTTGTTGCACTGTAAAGATATTTTCAATTGGTTATATTAAAATGTATAATATAATAATATACATTTTGTATAAATATATATGAAGTATATACATGCAAATATTTCTTAAATACAGTATACATGCATGTGTGTATATTTATATATAAAAAATAATTATACACGCTACACACACACACATGTTATGTGAATACAAACTTTTATTTTGGATGCGATTAATCGCGATTAATCGTTTCACAACCTATATATATATATATATATATAGTTTCTGTTGATGAAATCAATCTCCTTAATTGCATTGACTAATATGTAAGGCAATAAGTAGCCTAAGTTAAATGACAGTGCATCTTCTAAAGTATTCAAATCGAAAATAATTATTCAAATAACTATAAATAAGTTTTAACATTTACGCATTTATTTTTTTAAAATTGGGTAACACAAACATTATTTGTCACAAGCTTGGTACAAGCTTAAATGTAGCTATATACTCTTAAAACAAGCCTCAAAAATTATGAAAAATAAATGTATATCTTGTTTGAAATATTTTCATTTTTTGTAGTGTGCCTAAAACGATTGATTTGATGTTATCTATATTTCAGTAGATCTTTTTTTGGTGCTTACTTTGCCTGTTTGCTTGGAAGGTTGACATTCACACTCCCAAGGACGAGACTGAGATAAAGCCTTGAAAAGACAAGCAAAAATAACATTCAACTTGTAACTACAAAACTAACCTTCCGAAACAGACTCATTTAATAATCGTACCCATTTTTCTTTGGAATAAATTCTTCCATTTGAAAGATTAGGCTTGGCATATTTTGAATGTGACCTTTGACCTTCTTCACCTCATTCTTCTCCTCTTCAGTCAGTCCTTTATCAAATCTAATTCAGAAATGTATATTAAATTGTTACAATCCAACAGTATAACAGATCATAAAGAAAAAAAGACTAAATAAAAACACATGTTACTTTGACAAAGCCTCTAAATTGTCCTTTAAATTCTTTTTCTGTCGAGATATGGAGGCAGCAAAGCTTTTTTGAAGTTTGGAGACTTCCTCCAACTTCTGCAGGTAAAGCCGGTGGGTCTCCTGGACACAGAAATGTTTTATATCCACAGAAAAGTTCAGTTGTTTTGTAAGGTCTTCGGTTCTGAATCTGAATAGATTCAGAAAGATAATATCCTACCTGAAGCTGCTGTAATTCTTTCTCCTGAACCTTCCATTCTTGAAGGGCTGTTGCGAGTGATGTCGACATCAGTACAACTACTCAGTTAAACTAACCAGATTTCTCGGATAACTAAATGCAGTGAAACAAACTGTGATGGATACAGCAATGTCTTCAATGCAGATTTCTATTTCTATGAGCTTCAGCTTAAACTTTATAGTGAACTTTGACAGACCAACTTGACTGACCTTTGACACACTTGGATGCTACATGTTCTAGGTTTCAGCACTGTGAATTCTGACATTTAAAATAATGTGAAATTGTATTTAGCTATGACAACTTCATTGCACATATAAAAACATTATTACACTCAAGAATAGAGTCTAGTTATTTATGTTCTAAATTCTCATGCCTTAGTTGCATAATCCAATAATCCCTCATAAATCCCATTGATGAAAAAGAGCACTTAAAGTGAGAGAACAGCAGAAACAATGCAAACTTGAACTCTAATCGAGAGATAACAACATCTTTAAGGATATAGCCTACCTTAGCAGCATTCAGGTCAAACATAGGCCTAATTTTGTTTCAATATCTTAAACTACTGCCAGGTCATGTATGGAACTTTCATTGAATACAGTACACTTTGGTGTCCCATTATTTTTGTATTTAAAGCATTATAGGCATAAATTCCCCCTTTATTGTGTGAGTCCTGTGTGTGTGTATGTGTGTAGATACAGCTAAACTATATTAGTTTTTAGTGTTTTTACATTTATTTTAATACATTTATTTAATTTTGATGGGAACGCGTTGGGTTTTTTCATATTTGTTACAAGAAAATTGTAAAATCACGCAAATTAGTTTTAGCCTATATTTAGACATGAATTAAAGTTGTAAAATTGTATTCGACTTCCTGATCAACAGTGGATCACATGAATTCTTCCGCTGAAAATGTTTAATAAAGCAAAATTATTTGTTTGTTTAACGTCTTTTCAGGTGAATGCATCTGATCCGCAAGACTTTAGCCGTTTCTCAATAGGCTACCAAGTACGCAAAGTTCGGACTTGCGTCCTTGGTAGTTCAGACTTGCCAAGTACGACTCAGGGGAACGAACTCCCGAGCAAGTCCGGTTCTGGAACAGCACGTACTTGATCGCGTCACTCAGCACGCTCTGGCTACTCCGGTTATCTAGCCTATTTATAATTTGGACCCAATTGTTATAAAAACAACGAAACGCCTAAGGGTGCAAAGTGCAAAGGGGGTGCAAAGTGTGCTTTAATGTGTAATTATGATGTGTATAAACTCCCTGTCAAGCTATCTAACTTTCACCAACAAGTTCTTTTAGCATGGACTCTCATTTACAAGCATAATTTTTCTCCTCATCGGTGTTACATATGGAACAATAGGAATATTTTATTTAAGAATAAGTCTTTGTTCTATAATGACTGGTTCTGTAATGGAATATTTCATGTTAGACAACTCTTTAATAACGAAGGTCTGCGCAAAGTTTCTTTCAGAATATAATATAGGCTACCGGTAACTCCCAAAGAGTTTGCCACAGTTATGGATGCTATTCCATCTGGCATACTCATGCTTTTCAAAAATAATACTGCCTCTTTGAGTTCATTATCTTTGCCTGAACCTGTCAATACTCCTATAGATGAGATATGTTTCACTGAAAAAAAGGAAGAAAAATTATAAAGTAAGAGTTCTGTTCCTTGAGAACATTATTTCTGCCCCTGCTGCAGTGTCATATTGGAATGGCCTTTTTGATAATTTAAATTGGCAAAAAAATATTGTCCATACAACAAAGGTTTCTCCTCACAAACAAAATCAAAGAAATATCCTTTAGCCCTCTGGGCTTCTTCGTAAATGGCTACACTCATTAGCCACTCATCCCGGTCAAAAACGGACGAAGCCTTAAAATTTAACTTTACTTTTTCCCAGGATAACCATTCAAATATATTTTTGTTCTATAATATTTTCTGATTATTATTTTGAATTTTCAGAGTTTTCTATGATACTTTGCATTAATTATATAATTTTTAAGAGCTATTTTTTCCATTATAATTAATATATTTTTTTATTTTATATTTATTATTTTTTTTCAATAAATGCAACAATTCACATCAAAATAAAGTGCCAGCTTTATAAAAAAAAAATTTTTCAAGTAGAAGAGCGCCACCTTGTGGCTTTAAAAAAATAGTTACATGTGTGCAATGTCCTGTACAGCCTGTAGGCTGCATAGCTTCCTATAGGCTTTTTGATTCCTGTTGTTGTTTTAGACATGATTTTATTCGTTTTTTTTTATTTAGATATAGATTTAGATATTCTAAAAGACAACTAATTAATTTTTTTAACAATTTTTTTTAGATAAGTATCAGGTTTTGCATTATGTTTACAATCAAACAATAGCATTTGGTTAGACTGACAGACAACCACTGGCAGCTCCTGCCAGCCAGTTGAAGATTGAACCCCCACTTGGATTTTTTTCATTTCACAATATATATATTTTTTTTCATTTCTGGCCATATCGATATATATATATCACAATATAAATAAAATCACTATATTTGTCAAATTTAAATTGATATTCTACCTGCACCCTCTAGTGGGGCTGGCTGAATCCGGCCCTGATTCAATGTCAGTTTGAAGGACACAGGGCTGCCTGTCTCAAGTCCGCACCTCTCGATGCATCCTCGGTAAGGGGCGGATCAAGAACACTCTGGAAATTAGGTTAGGCCTATAAAAACGCATACTGAGAAACGAGCGGCCCTACATTGTGCGCCGTATTGTATTACCAAGTACAACCTAGAAACAAACGTCAGTTTTTGTTACTTTCTTTGACTCGGCTCAAAAGAACAATCAAGTAAAATTTGAAAGATGGATATATTGTTGGCATTGAAGACAAATGCACTGCCTGCTGTCATGACTCTCTTGGTTATGATATTGCTGTGGAAGATTCGAGGAAAGCAGAGCAGTTTTGGGCGTCTGCCTCCAGGACCCCCTCCGAATCCACTTCTGGGAAATTTATTTCAATTTAATCTTAAGGAAGCCTACAAATATTACCTAGAGGTGAGTAGAAAAATATGTTGTTGAATATATTGTTTAGAAGTAGCCTATTGTTTAAATATAAAAATATATTCATTAACTTAATAAGTCAATCATATAATTGGCTGCTTGTATGGTTGTTGCTTACAAAGATTTTTTTAAATGCTTAATTGTAAACATCAAGTAGCCTAGCATGTACAGTGTCATTTCTGACTCAACAAACAAAATAATTAACATGCCTCAATAAGAAAAATAATTAAAATAAAATTAAAGCATGAGAGGCTACATCAGTTACAAATAGCCTACATACAAAGGGTATTCTAATGCAATATACAGAAAATATAGGCTACTTTACATATCAGCACCATTCATTAGATTGTTACATGTGAAAGTGTTAAAGGATGAGCATTTTAATCACTTTAATTCGTACAAAGATGCGCTGACTGCCTTAGTTTTACTAAAGGAGTTTGCACACCGGATGAGAAACACAGCGCCCCGTCGTTCAGGGCCACATCTTTAAAGTCGAACATTATTCTCTACGAGTGTTGTGACTGGCGGCGCCCAGGCAGCAACGGCGCATGACCTCAAAAACCGGTTGCGCCAGAGTGCGCCATTTATATTCAATGTGGCCTATACATTCATTTGTTTCAAATCGTGGTAGTCCTCGTCGGCTTTGTTTCACCCGATTTGACATGTTGAATCGGCGTCGGGCCGTCGGCGAAAGAGAGAACTCTGATAGGATGTTCGATGTTCAGCTATGAAAGAGTCAGTGCAGAGAATTTAAGCAAAACAGCAAGCAAAGTTAAAACAGTAAAGATAGAAGGCTGTTCTTGTTACGTCATCTTACATGAGTGTTCCTTGGCGAATGTTTCAATACTAAGATGAGCCAACACAGTCTCATGAAGATGCGTATCGAGTGTTATTTCTCGTGGCATTTATACGGCAAAAGTGTTTTTTTCGTGTCCTATATGGTACGCACTAAAAAACCCTGGGTTAGGTTTAGGGGGGAGGGGGGTGGGGAGTTCGTGTGTATTATACTCAAAAAAGTGCGTATCATATGTAGGCTACGCGAAAATCGCATGCCAAATACACGCAAAAACTGTTTTTGGCGTATAAATTTGTGAATCGGTTTCTGTGCCGTTTCCAAAAGGTTGCTGGAGTTTAATGCTTTTTTTATATTTCCATCGGGATTACACACAAATTATGATCAACCCCCATAATAAGCTGCACTTGAACATACCGAGAGAACAGGCTACTTCTTTATTCCACTCCGCTCATCTTAATATTGAAATATTCGCCAAGGAACACTCATGTAAGATGACGTAACTTAAGAACAGCCTTCTATCTTTACTGTTTTAACTTCTTTGCTTGCTGTTTTGCTTAAATTCTCTGCACTGACTCTTTCACTAGCTGAACATCCTATCAGAGTTCTCTCTTTCGCCGACGGCCCGACGCCGATTCAACATGTCAAATCGGGTGAAACAAAGCCGACGAGGACTATTTTCAGCCGACGGGGCCGACTGTGGAAATTGCAGTAAATTGCGACAGACAACTTCTCACTTTGAGCACACGAATGCGTGTGTCGTTTATTATTAGAAAGAAAACATAATAATAGCAAATGGCGCTGACATGCGTCCCACGTGAACACACGTTCAGAGCATTTAAAGGGAACGCGATCCCTTAACAGTCGTGAAGAACAGAGTGCTGTGTTTACAACCAACAGTGTATAGAACTACGCTTAACAAAGGTGAATTATGTATCTTGCATTCACCACACTACCACGATTTGAAACAAATGAATGTATAGGCCACATTGAATATAAAATTGTAGGCCTAAATGGCGCACTCTGGCACAGCCGGTTTTTGAACAAGGTCATGCGCCGTTGCTGGGTGCCGCCAGTGTGTAACAACACTCGTAGAGAATAATGTTCGACTTTAAAGATGTGGCCCTGAACGACATTGTTTTAATCTATTTAAGATTTCACTCTTAGGCTCGTTTTGATGCATTGACTGCACAATGGTGCCTGTCATCAAAGCCGGTGGTATCTTATAGTTCAGGACATCTGGAATTGAGCTGATAACAATTTGCCAAATATCTTTTGGTTCAAGCTGAAATGCATGTTTTAGGCTAACAATGCGTCTCCA